ATATGAAGTCATCTGAGACTTCTGGTTTTGTGCCCATAGCGCATGGCCTCACAAGAGCGGACCTCCACTCCCCACGGCTAGTTTCGTCCCAAAGAGGTTACCATGAAGGAGGGGTGCCCCGTTGATCATGAAGCAACAGTGGTCGCTTCGTTTGATCCAGGGAAGCCCTCTGAACCTGACGGGAGAAAGGTTAGTGTGAGATCAGCGTCTAGCCCAAGCTACTTGCAGCCGAAATCCCAGAGCACGAACCTGAACATTGGTGAACAGCGTGCTTGGAATTGGTGAGAGTACTGATCTTTCTTCTATCTACTAATTGAATCCTTGAGAAAGTTCCCCAAAGCAAGAAAACCTCCGGAAGTGAAGGGAGGGGACCATATCCCCATTCCCTTACAGACGGAAGTGGAGAATTAATATTATGGAGGAAAGAGATATACTAACATTTGATTTAAAATACTACAGTCTGGACAAATCTAGGAACTAAGAAACTGTCAAGATTATACCCTAAAGAGTTTTCGATGGAATTATAAAAATATATAACAAAAATAACTTTTTGATTGGAAAAAAAGCTGAAAAAAGAAATAACTGCTGACATCTAGTGGAGAATCAGATAATAGAATACTAACAATACGGACTAAGAAATTGGCAGAATTTCTAGAAATAAACAAAAAGCTGTTCCTTTGAATTGTAAATAACCTTGAAGACAGCTGGGAACAAAGGAAGAGCCAGCTATAAGATTAAAAAGTGTCTGAAAGGAAAAAGAACACTTGGACTGTTGCTTAAATCTAAGAACTGTTTATGGAAAAGAAAAACCTTGGCTTTTGGCTAATCTTTTAGACGAGAATCTACAGGAAGGATTTAAAGTGGCTTAACATATTGAATTGTAATTTTGACTGACTAATAAATTGACTTTTGAATTAAAACATTGTTGAAAGTTTGTTTGAAGAGGGGAGACAACATGGATATCACATACGTATCAGAAAATGACAGGATGCCACATTCAATATTTTCTCCTGAAGGACTTAACTTGGAAAATCAAGAGCCTCCAGAAGTAATACTTCAAGGCAAGATAAATACTTTCCAGGAGGAAATATATGTAATGTTGGGACAAATACAAATGACAATAGACTCAAACCACAAGGAAATTTGAAACACCTTTGATGATTTAAATAAGCATATTTCCAATCTAAATCTACAATTAAAAAACACCCAGGAAATAACAATGAATGAACAAATAAATCAGATAACTGACTACAAATTAGAAGAATATGGTCAAATTGATGAAATAACAAATTAAAAGAATTACAATTTAACACAAACAGGAAAAAATATACAAGTTTCTGATACAACAACAAAAATAGAATGGACTATATAATTACCAAGAGAACCATCAAAGTTTGGGAGACAAAGTATTCATCTTACTTACTTCATCTTTTATATTCCCAACAACATTTGTAAAAACACAGGAACCGCTGGGTAAGTGGATTACATCAACTTGGAAAACTACTCGGCAAAAGAAGAAGACCAGAGACAGATACAAGAGATTTGACTCGCCCTACCAGATGGACAAACATTTGTTTGTTTGTTTGTTTTTTAAAAAAACAAGTTTTATTAACTTTCCAATTTTACAAAGCTCCAGGTATTAAGGAAGCAACATGGTGATTGGGTAATCCATAATAAAATAACAAGCTCTTTCATATATATGTCTGGTTACATCATCAAAAATTTCCTCTCTATTTCCCTTTGTTATTATATCACATTCAAGTAGATACATTGCTAGTTATAACTCAATCGGTTAAAACATTTATCAATATCTTTTGACTTATATGCTTCCATGTCCTGTTTATAACTTTTATCTAATTTCAGTTACAGTATTCCAGTTAGCTTAGTGTTCATAGTATTTAGGTTTCGGATAGCCCATGGTTCCCTTAGTTCATTACAAAATAGCTATCGTATCTAAGATACACATTATTTATCAAATAAATTCTTACTTTATTTCACAATCGTATTCTATTTCTCATCCTAATATCATCACTTATTAATAAAATAACCTTTAGCATCTCAATCCATCTTCTGTATTATAATTCAAAACTATTATTCTAATAATTAGTTTTTAGTTCCCTTATAAGTCTAAATCCTAAGTATTAAACCAGTTAATGTCTTTTAAAATCTCCTTAGCCCATTAAATAAGGTTTTAGGCTCTTCCATTAAAGGTTACATAAAGAAATCCCATTTTTTAAGTCTAACTCTGGCTTTTCTTTTGTGCCAAACAGGCTTCCATAGCAGAGCCTTTAAATACTCAGGTGGATCTCCCTTCATTCCTTCACATGTCATTTGAATCAAGGGAGACCATCCAGTTATCAATTTTTCAAGGAAGCTGGTCCCTTCATAGTCATTAGATTGTTGGCCTAATAACTTGAATTTCCATGTTTGGCTTAGTATATTTATCGTCAGTTCAGACTGGTCCTTCTTCCGATTTCAGCTGATTTAAATAAAAAGTCATGTTCAATGTTGTAGTTGTTGTTTGGTTGTCTGGGTTATCTAAATTCTCAATGTGCTGTGTAAGCAGGTCTTCAGCTCCTTCCGTCTTAGTGTTACTTTTTTCAGTTTCTGTTGCTGTTAGAATTGCAGGTTTTTTAGTTGAAATCAAGGTTTGGTATCAGGGTTCTGAGTAGGTTGTAGCTGGTATTCTTTAAAGTCCACTTTAGTGACAATTCCTTCTTCTGTTGCCTTTTGAGTTGTAATTTCATCACTTGAAATCTGGGCTGAATTTTGTAGCTTTGAGGTGGCGCCTTTATCTTTCAGTCTGGAATTCATTAGCTCAGTAGCCTCTAACATTTTTTCAAGTATAAGTTTGTAGTTAAGTTGTGGGTAGTATTCCTCCATTTCTGTGGTGTTTAAAGATAGTCCTTTAGTAGAGGCTATTTTGATAAAAGTCAATAAATGTCCATCTCCACTATAGATAGTTGTTTTCACCACCCAGCTGTTTCAAGTTCTTATCTTTTTTGATAGTGTCAAGGACAAGTATTAGTCTGGCAGGTCTGCTAGTCAGAAGAAAAAATTCACTTGCTGTACCAAATTTCACTACAAAATGTCCCCAGTAACATGTAAAATCTTTCCCAAACTCAAATTAGGCTTTTATCCAGTTTAAAAAGAAAAAGAAATATTCTTTTTTCCCCAGCTTAACAGATAGGTAAGATAATAAGTCTCTGTAGGAATAGAAACCTTTTGGGACCCCAAGTATCCAAAAATTACAAGTCCAATTATTTAGTCATTTAGTTTAGTTGTTCTTTTTGTTTTGTTTTGTTTTCCATAGCTTTGTATTTCCAGAGTAGGCAGAAGCCATAGGCAGAAGTTAAGAAGGGGGGAAAAAAGAATTTCCAAAGGCTTTTACAGGAAAGTAATTTGGAAGCAGAAGAGGTAAAGTAAGGTCTCACCCAGTTCTTCCACATTGCTTTCGTTGTGCTTGGTAGTGCTTTTGGCTTTTGGCTGGTACGCTTAGTGATTGGCCATGTTAATGGCCGGTCTTTTCTTCGTCGGTGCAAAGGAGCTGCCTCGGATCAAACAGAAGGGCTGCTGTCCTTCTGCAATCTGTCGAGGGTCCTCCTCAGCGGTGGTCACCCCTCCAGGGCGACTTTCGACCCTTTTCAGGGTCTTCTGACAAAGGGAAACCGGGCGGCGGAGAGAGTGCTCTTCTTGCGCGTCCGCTGGTGCCGCAATCTGGAACCGGAAGCCTCGTGAACAAACATTTGTTTCAGTATGGCTAAAAGAATAGAGAACTTTGAACATAAAGGAGCCCTATAACAAGAGGGATAAGAGATCTAAGTAATATAGTATGTTCCATAATATGTGAAATGTAAAAATAGCAGGTTGATGTAATTTTTATTAATATGTGAAATGTAAACTAATTAAAAAGGATGTTATATCTAGATACTATAAGATAGATAAAAAGTATAGTATTTTTATAATGCATGACAAAATATTGGGATGATGTACTTAAATGGGAAAATTGGGACAGTTAGATGACTAACATATGAAGAATTATGACTGATAAGAATTGGATGGAATATAAGGGAAATTAAGTGTAAACAAAAATTATGAAAGTAGGATGCATGCTGAACTAATGAAATGATGGTTATAAGAATAATATAAGCTGAAAAAAATGTCATACATAGAGGTTATTACTATTTGTATAACTATAAAAATGCCTATAATCATTTATATATTGAAAATATTAAGAATTATATTTTGGTTAAGGTTGAAGAAGGAGAATATAAATGGGGAAGGGAAGATGAAAGAAATATATCATTAATTAATATACTAATTATGAAATTATAAAACTTAATCATTATTGATTATTAATTATTATTGTCCTTTTTTTCTTGTTAAAATATAAACCAAGACAACACACTGTACACCAGGCACTGGAGATTGTTATAGTTAAAAACCAATAAAATATTTATAAAAAAATAAATAATAATATAAGGTCATCTAGTAATTAAAGCATTCAACTGTATGTTGAAGATTTTATCTATGGATCCAGATAAATTTCCAAGATCAATTTTGAAGAACAGATGCATAATATGCTTCCTAACACTTGGGCTTCCTAACACTTGGGCTGTCCAACTTTCAGATCTGAAGACTAATTATTAGTAGACAGCATCATTGTTGCTATGATTTGAACATTGACCATTGATAGATGCCCTTCACTTGTACAGTGAAATTCAGTAGCCTTCCTCCCACTAGATGGAAACAGAATTTATCCCTGTGATTGGATGAGAGGAGCTCCCTGTTTGTGGATGCTCTCCTTCCACTGGTGATGATGTATTACAATTAGTACCTTGCTCTTGCTATTATGTCCTCAGATGTTGTATCTTGACATAGGTTTGCATTATAAAATGATTGTCAATCATGACTTCACATAAATGCAGATTTTTTTGAAAAAGATCTGCAAATGGAAGAAAAGGAGGTCTTTTGGTCATATATTAGCATTTTTCTTTTAGATGGAGTTTGATGAGAAAGATTTGCGACGTGAAATCAGTTATGCAATCAAAAATATCCATGGTATAAGGCAAGTATTCAGACTGGACTAAATGTACATGGCATAAAATGTATATAATGATACTTATCTGGGACATCCAAGCAGCTGATAGTTTGGGAAGCCCTTGCTACTGAAAATGTTTCCCATTATCTTGAAATCAAAAAGAAAAATGTTGATGAGAATGTTGCACTGAAACATTAATTATTTTTATCCCACTTTTATTATTTTTATAAATATTTCAAAGCAGTGAACAACATTGTTAGGCTGAAAGAGAGTGACTGGCCCAAAGTTATCCCCCTGCCTAAGGAAGGGGACTTTTTTTTCCCCTTCTGCTTGGCCACTGGCCTGGTGCCTTAAATTTCTAGAGCAAACTGATTATTATGATTATCATATTGGCATGACTGGAGATTCACACCTAAACTACAACAACTTCCTGTTATTGAAAGAATTTCAGCTAGAGGGGAGGATGAAAAAAGCTCTTAGAAAATCAGATTGTAAATCTACTGAGAAGTTTTCGATTTCTGCTGTAACAGGATGGCAAGGGGAATGATTATTCCCTCCCATCTAGCAATTATTTATTTTGTTTATATTGCAAATGAAGATGTAGTTGACAGAAACATATGTTGAATTTGAGATTATATTGATTTGTATTTTTAGATTGCTAGCTATAGGCTAAGTGACTCCTGCTATTACACAAGAAAGATAAGTTACTATTTCCTGTTATTCCTAGCTGCTTGGGGGGGGGGGGGGGGCAGCAGCAAGCAAAATCCATTGCTTCCAGAACAGTTATTTTTTTCTCTGACAAAGCAAAAATACCCATTTTGATCTATTTTGTGGTTAGCTGTTTTTCACACTTCCACATTCTAGTTCTCTAATAAATAGTACAGGAATTTTTTTTTCTCCTAAAATCAATAATGTTGGCATTTCCTTTTTATATTCAAAGATATTATAAAAGCATTATAAAGAAGCATATTACAAATTCAGTTTGCAAAAATCTTTCAATAACAAATATGTATATTCATATCTCTTTCTATAATCTTCATTTTCTGAAGTCCTTGTTCCATCCCTATATTATTTAACTAACATTACTAGCAAAAGGAGGGGCTTGTTGCAACAGAAAAGCTGTCTGTTATGGGAGGGAATTGTGTTCTGGAATGTTGCCCATATTTAAATCTCTTTTTCCCCTCCTCCCCCTTTTTTCTCTTTGCTGTGTTTATGCTCTTTTGCCCTCCCTGTGCTGATATAGGACGGGACTGTTCACACCAGACTTGGCATTTGAAGCCATTGTGAAAAAGCAGGTGGTGAAGCTGAAAGAGCCTTGTTTGAAGTGTGTCGACTTGGTTATTCAGGAATTAATCAATACAGTTAGGCAGTGTACCAGTAAGGTATTGAACTAGCTATTGAGCTCTTACTTGACTGGGTTGGGAAAAACCTAAAACTGTACTATTCTATTTTTCCCAACTTGCCAAATACAACCTCCAAGAATTGCTGCAAACTTCTTCTAAAATCTTGATTGGCTAAAGTTGAGAATGTCCTGTTTCCTATATTTTTATAAAATGCTTAAATACAGCATTATGTGGTCCAGACAACAATCTTGTTATCACATTTCAGTTAGCCCTAGCTCTCTCCTATTTTCATCCTTTGATATCGAACAGAAGCATTTGTGGGCTGTCTGGAGGTTGTTCAAACTAGCAAGCAGATTTCTTCTTGGATCCTGGCTTTCTATTAAGTGCATGGCTTCTTGATCTGCCATTTCAACCACTCTCTGTGAATTTTTTTCATAGCAACAGAGCCAATAAAGCTAAAGTTGTTTTTGCAATTTAATCTTAACTACATTGGTTGAAGTAATGCGCTCTCTCTGTTCTAAAAGTCTCTCTCAAATAGGAATTCCATCATTTCAGTATAATTGGCTTGGCCATATGTTTAAAACCTGATTTCTCAGGAAACTGACTTTTCTCTGATTATATTTTTGGACTCAAAAGTAGGCTGTCCAAACCAAGATTTAAGGATCTCATTGTCTGTATATTTTCTTAATATTTTTTATAATTAGCAAAGTACTGAAGAACACTCTGTGAAGAGCAGTTTACATTGCTTGACTTTTGCCGTGCTATATGTGATAGATTAAATCTGTTTCTGACCGAGGAATTGAGCTTTTATTGATACACTGTGAAGAAGCCAGCACTTGCTGTCCAAGGTCCTTCAAGTCCCACTTACTCAAATGCAACAGAATCTCCTGTTGTCCGTCTGCCCATCCATCCATCAAATTTATTTGATGCCCATCTGGTATCGAAACAACTATGGGCAGCTTACAGCATTAAAACATTAAAATCCTAACATAAATATTTCTAAAACAAAAACCTGGAAATTACAATAAAAATAAAATTAAAATTATAGTTAAAAGTTGGGGAAGGAGGGAGCAGAATGCATGGAGGTGGGATTGCCTCTTAATTCATTAACCATCTCCAGAGTAATGTTCCTCCATCAGCACCCCATGCCCTTTGGCAGAGTCAGGTCTTCAAGCTCTTGTGGAAGGTCGAAAGGGTGGGAGCCAATCTCATCTCAGGGGATAAGATGTTCCAAAGGGCAAGAACCACGGCAGAGAAAGTCCTTTTCCTGGATCCTATTGGCTGGAATTCCTAGACTGATGGGGCCCGCAGCATACCGCCTCTGCCAGTGTAGGTGGGACAGGCCAGTTCCAGGGAGTGAGATGGTTCCTCAAGTAAGCTGGACCTATGCCATGTAGGGCTTTTACAACAGTAGTTGTCCAGCTGGTTTGTACTGAGATGCCATAGAATTCATTACAGAAGTCTTTCCCCAAAAGTATTGTATAAGACATTTTAATGTGAGTATGGAAATAACTTATTATTAATCTGAAAACAGGTACAATCAACCAGTGAAACAACTTACCCCCAGAAATCGTGGGTGCTCCATCACTGGAGATTTTTAAGAAGAGACTAGACAAACACCTGTCTGAGATGGTATAGGTTCTCCTGCTTGAGCAGGGGGCTGGACTAGAAGACCTCCAGGGTACCTTCCAGCTCTATTCTATTCAATCTATTCAAGATGACAGAGAAAGAGATTATAAGAATGATAAAATAGGACTACATGTAATTGCTACTGCAAAGAGGTATTGGTTATTAGTTCCATTTTTTGGTAGTGGCGTTTCTTTCGAGCTAAATGGCCAAGAAAGCATTGTTAGACTTTTTCTGGCCAAACTGTGGGCACTGAGATGCAGTTGAAGTGCTGATTTCTGAAAGAGGTCTCTTCTTTACTTATACAGCCATCATGTATGTAAGGGCCTATATACTGTCCTGGAATTTTTCTTAGTTCAAACTATTTGCTCTGCACATAGAAAACTTACATGTTACACAGAAATATTTTCATTGACATGGCTGGAGAATACATGGAAAAGCAGTAAGTTACATGAGTCTTGTGTCTTCTGATTTAGTCAGACAAACAATATCTCAGTTTCATGTTCCAGTGATGGTGCTAATTATCTATTGTAGAAGTAGAAAGTCAATAATTCTATTTATTAAAAGTGTCAATCATCACCTATATCCTTTTCCCCCCTACACTATATGCCTAGTTACCTGCTAAAAAGGCTTTCAGACATAGGCAGCCAACCAAAGTCAAACCTTAAGTATGAGGTACTCTGCAAAGCACGGTGCTTGAAAGAAGTTTAAGTCTAGTCTTTTGAGACAAAAACTTGGTGCTAGCATAGCTCTTCAGCAAAGCAACACTTTAAAGTGTGCTTCTGACATGATCAGAAACCTTGAAGTTTTTCTGCTCTTTTCTATGTTTATATTTGTACTTGTAACCCATGTGCCATAAGTTGGCCAATTATGCTCTAGACCAACAGGATAGCTGTAGGCACAGCCATAACTTTTTCCCTGCCACTATACTGAAACAGTTTTCATGAGCTTTGAGAATAGCAAGTAAGAGATGGACTTCCATGCTTTTACTGAAGACTACTGTGACATGGAATACTTTACAAGGATGAGATAGTCGGATTACAGTCCATTTGCTGCAGGATTTGAATCCTGTCTGAGGCTGCTGAGGAGCATAATTCTTGAAAGATCTTGGAAGGGAATTGCTCATTTTGACAATTCAAAAAGGATCTTCTTAAGGAAGTGCTGCTGCTTTTTCATTTTGCACACTACTAACCTTTTCAATCTCTTTTTCCCTCTCTGTCATTTTTCCTCTATTCTTCGGAATCTCTCCTTTGTGTTCATGCTTTCTGCATGGTGCAGGACGGGGCTCTTCACACCTGATATGGCTTTTGAAACAATAGTGAAAAAACAGATTATAAAGCTCAAAGAGCCCAGTCTGAAGTGTGTTGATCTGGTGGTCTCAGAGCTGGCCATGGTCATTAAAAAGTGTTCAGAGAAGGTAATGGGTCTGTACTCTTTTTTCCACTTTTCTGCTATCTCCCTAACTCTTGATAACACTTCAGGAGTATGGCTTCATATGGTTACTAGCTAAGTGAAAACCTGAATGCATTCAAATAAGAAGCAATGGACATTACACAAAGTTCCATTCTTCTAGTTAATTATTGGCTTAGTTCTCTTGAATCATTTGGGTCAGTTACTCATTTGATTAATTGAGATATAAGTTCCTTTCCTGTGGTTTCTTACACATGGATCGGCTATACAATTGAATCCTATAGTAATGCTGTGTCTTGGATTATAGCAACTATAGTTGTATTTGATTTGAAATGGAACAAAAGAACACTTTGCATAACTTCCTGTGAAGTATTTTCTCTATATTAAACATGTATGTCATTAAAGATGCTTTGGAATGTATACAATATTTAATGAACAATTCTCTCTAAGGAAAAAAAAGAACAATCAATTCTTATTTTCCCTGTGATATTAAGAAGCCAGTCTTCTGTGTACTCCTTTCTTCTACTAAATCAAAGAAGGATCGTGGGCTATTTCCCAGAAGATCATTGGAGAGTATTAGCGAAGTATTATGTCAAAATAGATTAATAAATTAAAATGGATCTGTTCTAAATTGATAAAAATAAATTTCTCTTACTTGATAAATCAATCCTTCCCCAGTGATGAAAGAAGGGAAGCAGCCCAACCCAGATCTTTTTCCTTGTATTTCTGTATAAATAGTACTTAAAACTGCAGAGATGTGATGTCTTATCCTATTGTCCTTAGCTTGGTTCCTATCCCAGGCTGCGAGAAGAGACAGAGAGAATTGTTACTACATACATCAGAGAACGTGAAGGAAAAACTAAAGACCAGGTAAACAGTCTGCTTCCTTGTCTTCTAGATAAATTTTTGAACTGACCAAGAATAGAAGGATCAGAATTGAAAAAAATAGTTCTTAAAAATGAATCCTTCCTTGTTTTTAATATTTGTAGTGAGCTGAAATTACTTTTAGGTTAGTAATTTCAGTCTCAGCAACTTTGATGCTGAACAATTGTGAAATACTGAACTAGGATTACAGCGTAGGATTTATAGTACTTCTATTTGAGGGCAGTGCAGATAGGTTTTGAAGCCATAACTTAAAAACAATTGCTGGACCAGACCAGCTCTCTGCATTTTTCCCTGTAATCCTTTTGAGGAGCTGCAGTAGTTGAGAAAACTGCAAACTCAGATTAGGGTCTTTTTAAAATAAAGCAATTTTTAGGAAACCAGTATAAGGTTAGTAGGGTATCCCAAAGGTGCTTTTTCAAGAGGCAACTGGATTTTCTTGTTTTTCTTTGAAAACGTTTCGCTTCTCATCCAAGAAGTTTCTTCAGCTCTGACTGGATGGTGGGGAATGGAAGGATTTATATTCCTTGCAGACAGCTCGTCATTTGCATTCTTTTAGAGAATTGTTGAGGCCATTTGGAGGTTTACCTGTGTCCTCAGGGTCATCTGAGTAGTGCAAATGGGTGTGGAGCCTTCTTGGAACTGCTGAAAGGACTGTGTTGTACACTAGAAATAGATGATGTTGTATCCCTCCCCCTCTGTTCAGAGAGGTATGTTCAATTTTGACATAGATGGCCTCTTTGACCCCTCTTTCAAACCAGCAGTCCTCTCTGTCCAAAATGTGGATTTTGTCTTTTAAATGCAAATGGTGAATCTTATCCTGATGGGTTTGTTCTCCTATATTGTGCCATGCATTTATGAAGTGATTGTTTTGTTTCCCCAATGTGCAAATCTGCACAAAGCAACCTGGAGATTGGAGTATAGGCTGGTGGGTGAACCCTGTAAGATTTGTATTCTTGTAAAATCTGTTCAGTATGTTTTTCTTTATTCATTGTAATCTGTTCCTTTATTTTATTGTTCTGGCTTTTATTCTGGTAAGTGTCCAGTATTGGCTAGAATTGGGTGTTCTTTAAATTTATGTGTGTATGTAAATAAATAAATGTTAATCTCCATAGATCAGACATGTCAAACTTGCAACGTCATGTGATGTTGCGCAACATATCGGGACGGTTTTGCCATTGCCGGCAATGGGGTGGGCATGGCTTCTGGATGACACTTCCGGCCCATGGGTGGCAGTTTGACACCCCTGCCATAGATGATCTTCTCCAAATGCAGAATGAAAGACTAGATGAATTAGTTTTTAAATTAGGTTGCTGTACGACTGAGAAACTTTTGTCATTCTTTTTTCAGATTCTCCTATTGATTGACATAGAGCTGTCCTATATCAACACAAACCATGAAGACTTCATTGGATTTGCCAAGTGAGTGTTTGCTATCTAACAAAGATCTAGAAAAGTATGTATGCTACATAGTATCTCTGTTCTTCACTAAAGACCACAGACATCATCTATCTAAATATCTGTTTTGATCTGCTAGATCAAGTAGAAACTAAGAATGCTTGATTTTATGTTGTTAAAGAAGCTTTGTTATAAAAACTTAGTTCAAGTGAAATTGATTAAAAAAAGTTTTATTACACTTTGGTTTGGGTGCTATTCTCTTTAGAAATTTGAGAGCAATACACTCTTTTGAAAAAAAAATCCAATAAAAATAGGAGTAAAAGTATTTTGTTGTTGTTAGTTGCGAAGTCGTGTCCGACCCATCGCGACCCCATGGACAATGTTCCTCCAGGCCTTCCTGTCCTCTACCATCTTCTGGAGTCCATTTAAGGTCATGTCTACTGCTTCAGTGACTCCATCCAGCCACCTCATTCTCTGTCGTCCCATTCTTCTATTGCCCTCAATCTTCCCCAGCATTAGGCTCTTCTCCAGTGAGTCCTTCCTTCTCATTAGGTGGCCAAAGTACTTGAGTTTCAACTTTAGGATCTGGCCTTCTAAAGAGCAATCAGGGTTGATCTCCTCTAGGACTGATCGGTTTGATCGCCTTGCAGTCCAGGACTCGCAGAAGTCTTCTCCAGCACCATAGTTCAAAGGCCTCAATTCTTTTGTGCTCAGCTTTTCTTATGGTCCAACTTTCACAGCATACAATGCAACTGGAAAAACGGCCTTGACTCTACGTACTTTTGTTGGCAGGGTGATGTCTCTGCTTTTTAGTATGCTGTCTAGATTTGCCACAGCTTTCCTCCCCAGGAGCAAGCGTCTTTTAATTTCTTGGCTGCAGTCCCCATCTGAGGTGATCTTGGAGCCCAGAAAAATAAAATCTGTCACTACCTCCATTTCTTCCCCATCTATTTGCCAGGAATTGAGAGGGCCCGATGCCATGATTTTGGTTTTCTTAATGTTGATTTTCAAGCCAACTTTTGCACTCTCCTTCTTCACCCGCATCAAGAGGCTCTTTAGTTCCTCTTCACTTTCTGCCATTAGAGTGGTATCATCTGCATATCTTAGGTTGTTGATACTTCTCCCGGCAATCTTAATTCCAACTTTTGATTCATCTAGCCCTGCCTTTCTCATGATGTGCTCTGCATATAAGTTAAATAGGCAGGGCGACAGTATACAGCCTTGCCGGACTCCTTTTCCAATTTTGAACCAATCATGGTTCCGTGTCCAGTTCTCACTGTTGCTTCTTGACCCGCATATAAGTTTCTCAAGAGACAAATGAGATGGTCTGGTACTCCCATCTCTTTAAGAACTTGCCACAATTTGTTGTGATCCACACAATCAAAGGCTTTAGCATAGTCAATGAAGCAGAAGTAGATGTTTTTCTGGAACCCCCTAGCTTTCTCCATGATCAGGCGTATGTTGGCAATTTGATCTCTAGTTCCTCTGCCTCTTCGAAATCCTGCCTGTACTTCTGGAAGTTCTCGATCCACATACTGCTGGAGTCTAGCTTGTAGGATTTTAAGCATAACTTCACTTGTATATGAAATGAGTGCAATGGTGTGATAGTTTGAACATTCTTTGGCATTGCCTTTCTTTGGAATTGGAATGTAAACTGACCTTTTCCAAACGTGTGGCCACTGTTGAGTTTTCCAAATTTGCTGGCAAATTGAGTGTAGCACTTTTACTGCTTTGTCTTTTAAGATTTTCAATAGCTTAGCTGGAATACTGTTAACTCCACTAGCTTTGTTGTTGCTCAGCTTTCCTAAGGCCCATTTAACCTCACATTCTAGGATGTCTGGCTTGAGGTCAGTGACCACCCCATCATGGTTATCAGGGACATTAAGCTTGTTCTTGTATAGTTCTTCTGTGTAATTTTGCCACCTCTTCTTAATCTCTTCTGCCACTGTTAGGTCCCTGCCATTTTGGTCCTTTATCATGCCCATCTTTGCATGAAACGTTCCCTTCATATCTCCAATTTTCTTGAAGAGATCTCTGGTTCTCCCTATTCTATTGTTTTCTTCTATTTCCTTGCACTGTTCATTTAAGAGGGCATTCTTATCTCTTCTAGCTATTCTCTGGAATTCTGCATTCAACTGGGTATAAAAGTATTACATTTCCATTATTTTTAAGGAATTTATTCAGATCTTAACCTTATTTATTTATTATTTAACTAGGCTTACAAGCTAAGCCAATCATTGCTGATTCTGAATGGCTTAAAATGATAGCATTTGTAAACATGCTTAAAGTAATAAATCAAACCAAAATAGCAATTGAAAAGACTGATTTCCATGGTCCTTATTGATATATTTCCTTGTGAGCAATTATCCAAGAGGCTATTCTATTTTCCTTTTTCTTATTGAGCAGGCAGATACCTTTGGGAACAGTTATTCATAAACATACCCAGACTCTCAACCATTAAGGACATGAAAAGTGACAACCAGCATCTTACACTGCATCTCACTAGTAACCAATACAGCTGTCACCCACTTTTACATGGATGAATCAAGGAATGTCCATAATTACCTAGGATGCTGAACTCGGGACCAGCTTCCAAGTGGTCTTCAAAGGCAGTTCCATGTAAAGTGCATTGCAGTAGTTAAGTGAGAAGTGACCAAGGAACACAAGAAGCCTTCCTGCCCATTTGTGCTATTTCCTCTTCAAGTTATGATCCACTTCAGTGTGACTAACACTGTGAGGGAACAGGTCTCAACCAGAACCAGAGATGGAATATGTTTGGAATTGGGAGACCTGAACTTGAACCTATTCTTTTCTATCCAGATTCTAATAATGGTATCCAGACACCATAATTAGTGCCTCAAGGACATGTTGATGCTGTATCTATAAATGACTTCCCACATTGGCTTCATGTAGATATTAAATGCATGTGGAGAAAGTGTCCACAAGAACCCCAGAAGAAAGGGCCATGGGGCTCAGTCTCTTCCCTGCTTCTACTATCTGGAACAGCCCCATTCCCCAATTTCCAAACATTTCAAAAATATGTGTCTCATTATCAAAAGTAGACAAAATACAAGTTTAATACAACTTTGAAAACAATAGCAATGTAGAAATGTAATAATTTAGAATGTGTATCCATGCTTTCAATGAATAGATTGTGAGGATGTGCATGAACAGCATTAAGAACATCCTTAATTAAACACTTGAGTAATGTTGAGATGGGAGAAAAAGAATTGTTTACATGTATGTAATCACCATGCTATCCTTTCAAGAAGCAAAACAAAGCAAACCACGACTTCAGAGGGGTGATCACAGTGAAATGGATATTAAAGTAAGATGCTAGAGAATAGAACAGTGTCGTCATGCTGTTTGCTGCTACTGCTTCTCATCTTTGAACTAAGTGACAGTGTAATGTTATTTGCTTTGAATAGTGAGATAGGCAGCATATAAATTTAATGAATAAATAAATAAAATAAACAAGTAACTATTATTCTTGAATTTATAATTCCACGTTTCACTGTGAATGTATGTGAAAGGGAAGCATCTTCCTCTCTATGATTAAAGTATTGCTGGCTTGAAAGTGCGAAGTAGATTACAATCTAATAATACAGCTAGTCCTTACAATTGGGACTAACAACTTGATTCTTAAGCTAAGTGGTCGGTAAGTGAAACTGCGACTGTTTACTTTACTTTTGTTTTACAGACTTCTGAAGGTTGTAAATGTGAGATTTGTTTGCAAAGTTACTATTTCATAACTGTCCTAGCTATAAATAGTTGCTAAATAAATCAGTCACTAAACCAGAACTAAATGTACCTTACAATTTGAAAAAAGATTCTAATTCTATTAATGTGGTTCTGATTAAAACTTGTAGCTTTTTAAAAAATGACTATCATTTCTGATAGTCAGGTTTTTAGAAAAATTATACAGGGGGGAATCAGTGATACTACAGGTTATTATATATTACACTGATATTACAACCATTCATTTAGTGATCCTTTGAAGTTACAACAGCATTGAAAAATGTGATTTATAACCATTTCTCACACTTACAACCATTGCAGCATCCCCATGGTCACATGATCAAAATTGCAATGTTCCCAAGTCACATGATCACCTTGTGCAACCTTCTGACAAGCAAAGTCAATGGAGAAGCTAGATACACTTAATAACCATGTTACTAACTTAACAACTGCAATGATTCACTTAACAACTGTGACAAAAATGTCGTAAAATGCGGCAAAACTCACAAGAACTGTCTCACTGAGCAACAGAAATATTGGGCTCTATTGTGTTTGTACATTGAGGACTACCTGTAATTTGTTCAAAAAGATTAAATGGGAATAAAGTGAGAATACCTTTTTATACTGCACTGGTAAAACCACACTTGGAATACTGAGTCCATGTCTAATCACCATGATACAAAAAACATGTTGAGACTTTAGAAGGAGTACAGGGAAGACCAGGGCTTTTTTTTCTCATAGAACGCCCAGAACGGAGTTCCAGCACCTTTTTTGGATGGAAACTGGTAGGCAAGGCAGGTTGTATGATGTATGTGAGTTCTGGCACCTTTTTTTTTTTTTAAGAAAAAAAGCACTGGGGAAGACCAACAAAGATGATTAGGAATCTGGAAGCTAAAGTATACAATGAACGATTGCAGGAACAGGGTATGTCTACTGTAATGAAGTGAAGGACTATGGGTGACATGATATCAGTCTTCCAATATTTGAGGGGTTGTCACAGAAAAGAGGGGGTAGACCTATTCTCCAAAGTACATGACGGCAGGATAGGAAGTAACAGATGCGAAGATTATTAAAGGAGAGATCCAACTAAGGAAAAATTTCCTGACACTGACAACAAATAATCACTGGAATGGCTTGCCTCCAGAGGTTGTGGGTGTTTCATCGCTGGATATTTTAAAGAAGAGATTAGACAACAATTTGTCTGGAATGGTTAAGATTAGGCTCAAGCAGCAGGTTGGACTAGAAGACCTCCAAGGTCCTTTTCAACTCTATTATTCTATGATTAAATAAATAAATAAATAAATAAACTTTATTGTCATTGTATGTGTATACACAGTGTACACATACAACGAAATTTACGTGACACCCAAAGACCAGGTCCCACACACATAATCCCCAAACACACTCCCACCCCCCACAATTTCCCACCCCTAAAAACCACCCAACATCCACCCAACAGACCAAGTAATACTGTCCAACAGTTCACTGATGGTGGCCTTTTAATTCATTATTAAGTGCAATTATAGCTCTGGGATAAAAACTATTCAGAAAACGTATGGTCCGAATTTTAAATGTTCTATATCTTTTGCCAGAAGGCAACAGTCCAAAGAGATTGTAAGCAGGATGGGAAGAGTCTCTGAGAATGTTATGCAACTTCCTCAAACAGCGAGATTCGAAGATGTTATCCAGGGCTGGTAGCAGGAGTCCGATAATATTCTGGGCAGTTTTAATAATTCTCTGTAGAGCTTTTTTGTCCGCTACAGAGCTGCTCCCATACCATGCAAGAATGCCGTATGTCAGGACACTCTCAGTGGTGCTGTGATAGTAGGACAGAAGTAGATGCTGAGATAGATTTATCTTCCTGAGCATTCTCAGGAAGTACAGCCTCTTCTGTGCCTTCTTCACAAGCATGTTAACGTTCATAGTCCATGAGGGGTCCTCTGAGATATAAGTGCCCAGAAATTTAAAACTACCCACCCTCTCCACCTCCTCACCATTTATGTACAATGGTAGATGTGCATCTCTCTTCCTCCTGAAGTCAATTATAAGTTCTTTAGTTTTTGTGGTGTTAAGTGTGAGATTATTTTCATTACACCACAGTGTCAGCCCTTGTACCTCCTTCCTGTAAGCAGACTCATTGTTCTTGTTAATGAGCCCCACCACTGTTGTGTCATCCGCAAATTTAATAATAGCGTTGGTGTTATACAGTGGGGTGCAATCAGGCGTATACAAGGAATAAAGGAAAGGGCTTAGCACACAACCCTGGGGGCCTCCTGTGTTTAATATCAGAGTAGAGGAATGGTGAGATTCCATCCTTACTGACTGTGGCCTACCTGTCAGAAAGTCCCTTATCCACAAGCAAATCCTCTGATTTATACCCAAATTGGACATTTTAAAAAACAACCTGTTGGGTAAAATGGTGTTAAAGGCAGAGCTATAATCCACAAACAACAGCCTTGCATATGTCCCCTGTTGTTCCAAATGGTTCACTACAGTATGGACAACAAGAGACATAGCATCATCAGTTGATCTATTACCCCTATATGCAAATTGGTATGGGTCCAAAGTAGATGGAAGACAAGCCTTAATATAAGTTCAACACCAGCCTCTCAAAACATTTCATGACAACAGATGTTAAAGCTACTGGTCTATAATCATTAAGAGATACCACTACTGTCTGTTTAGGAACTGGCACTATAATAGATGTCTTCAGGCAGGTAGGGATAGAGCACTGCGACAGAGATAAATTGAAAATATCCGTGAACACTTCAGCTAGCTCTGCAGCGCAGTCCCTGACAACTCATCCCAGAATTCCATCTGGCCCAGCTGCCTTCCGGATATTAACATTCTGGAAAGTGCGTCTCACATCAGAGATCTGCAGTAGAAGTGGTTGTCTATCGATGGTAGATGTTAATGATGCACCATCAGTGGTAAATGCTGGAATGATGGTTGTTCCTGTATCCTCCTCAAAACGGCTGAAGAATTGATTTAACTGCTCAGCCAAAGGGTCACTACTCCCAGGCAAACTACTTTTATTGCTTTGTCCTGTGATTTGTCGCAGACCTTGCCATACACAACCAGAGTCTAAGTTCTCAAAAAGATGTTCAATCCTCTGTCTGTATGTATCTCTTATTTCTCCAACTCTCCCTAAATCATTGTTATTCAAGAAGTATACTAGCTTTGTAGCTAGATTTATTGGGTTTGTTTATATTAGTTATTTTGAATGTATTTCAGATTTCATCAATGTATTTCCTTGATGGCATCACTGGAAATTACCTTTGGTTCACTATAATTGGGTTCTCTTTTCCCTTTTCTTAAATACTTTATCAGGTTTGATGGTTTCCTTTTTAATATTCTTTTGAAAGGTTTGTTGCTTCTTTACTGGGCTCAATGTTGTGTTTCTTGTGCACACAGGCTGCAAAAGGAAAGTATAATACTTTACTTTTGTGGCATCTAGTGGCTATATATGTATGCTCAGACCAGCTGCATCAAACAATAAGAGTAGTGTTTAATTACGTTATCCCATGTCTACATAGTCTTAATCTTAGTGTTACTGCCATTGTTTGCTGTGAGAATTTTTAAAACTTTTCTTATAATTAAACATCTGCCCTTTGATTCAGCTCCTTACATTCCATGATAATAGGATTTAGCTGTTACAGCCCACAAAACGAAGAAGTAAGATATTCTTGAAATAGCTTGAGCTTTGTTCAATGGGAATATAATTTACTCAGAATATTCTAATGAACTTTTTTGAATGAAACAATATATTTACAGTAGACATTGAAATTATTTTTCATCTTTTTGTATACTTCTGCTTCTCTGTTCAGTCTATTATTATTTAACTAACCCAAGGCTTGCCCAATATTGTAGCGTTGGCTGTTTTCTTTTTTCTACGAATATCTCTTCTACATAACTTGTCAGCTTTCCCCTTTTCCTGCAACTCAGGCACTATAGCCATAATTCCTCAGTAACTTGCTTGCATTGTATATACTCCCATAGCCCCTGAATCAAAATGGCTGCTGTAGTGCTAGCTGCAAAAGGCTGAAGTGTTGCTGTAACTTTTTCTTTCATGTGCTGTTATGTAACAGAATAACAGAATTGGAAGGAACTTCAGAGATCTTGTAGTTCAACCCCCTGCTCAAACAAGAGTTCCTATACCATTTCACAAAAATGGCTGTCCAGTCTCTTCTTAAAAACCTCCAGTGATGGATCACCCACAACTTCTGGAGGCAAGCTATTCTATTGATTGATTGTTCTTACAGCCGGGAAATTTCTCCTTAGTTGTAGATTGTATCTCTTTTTGACAAGCTTTCACCCATTATTTCTTGTCCTGCCCTCTGGTGCCCTAGAGTATAAGTCAATCCAGTCTTCTTTGTGGTTGTTGCTCAGTTGGAGGACTGCTATCGTGTCACCCTGGTCCTTCTTTTCATTAGGGTAGATATACCCAATTCCTGCAACCATTCTTCATATGTTTTAGCCTCCAGTCCCCTAATAATCTTTGTCACTCTGCACTCTTTCTAGAGTCTTGGCATACTTTTTGTATCATGGTGACCAAACCTAGACATAGTATTCCAAGTGTGATCTTACTAAGGCAGTATAGTGTTGTGGTGTTGTGACCATGATACTATCCCCCTGTTGATGCAACCTAGGACTACATTGGCTTTTTTGGGCATCTGCAACACACTGCTGATTCATATTTAAGTGATTGTCCATGAGGATTTTTAGATCCCTCTCACAGTTACTGTGAGGATAAACCTTGCCTGGAAGTTCTTTGAAGTGTTTCATTAGTCGGAACCATAACATTCTGTACCTGTGCAATTGCTTTTTTCTTGCCTAAGTGTACATTTCTTACCACTGAATTGCATTTTGTTGAATAGGGCCAGTGTTCAAGTCTGTCAACATCCTTCTGTACCTGTCTTCTAAAGTGTTAGCTATTCCAGCCAGCTTGGTGTTGTCTACAAATTTGGATAAATTCCCTTTCTATCTCCTCATCCAAATAATTTTAGAATTTAGAAGTTGGAGAGTCCTAGACCTTTTGCATGCTTCCCTCCATGTAGATGTAGTTCCATTGAGGACTATACATTGAATGCAATTTGTCAGCCATTTACGAATCCATCTAGAGGTGATGCTGCTTGTCCCACATTTTTCTCTCTCAACAAGAAGCTGTGATTTACTATGTCAAATGCCTTATTAATGTACCTATAGCAGGTTTAGGTTCTTTAACAAAATCTACTTTCCCTTTTTTGCAAACTTGTAAAATATGTTAATGTAATATTTTTTTCCTCTGTATTAAAATACCAAGCAATCTTTTGGCACAGGGGTCTGAAAGTTTTTTAATAAAAGGAAAAGCTTGCTACTTTTTAAATCAATGTTTACTATAAAAGAAATACCTGAATCCTTTTGATTTGTTTTTTTATACTGTGATATGATCTTAAGGACCTTTAAAATATGGTTTACGCATACTGCAAATAAAATATTTCCCATCAATTTATCAAATGACCTGAGAGTGAGTTTCTTTACAGCAGCAGCTCCCAACCTTTTCTATATCCCATACCCCTAGAATACTTCTGATATATTCTCGCACATCTTACAAAAGTTCGAAATAATGGCAACAAATTATGCATATACACTATCATTTTGAAAACCCAAGTTTTCACATCCCCGGTTGGGAACCCCTGCTTTACAGTATGTGTGCATTCATATATCTCTTCTTTCCCACTTAATACTGAGTTCTTTCTTTTCTTTAATCTGTCTGTCTTGGGTTTTGTTTTGTTTTTTTGTTTTTTGTTTAATTGTCTTACTTTTGCTTCTGGATTCCTTGGAAACTGTCCAAAATTTCCCAGCTGTTACACTGAACAGCACATGATGGCTGGGTGCGTATCTGCCTGTGAGAGTTTTTCTCTATTGTGGCAAGAATCCAAATTGTCTAATCCTTTGGAACACTTGCTGAAAGTATCTTGCATTTAGACTTGCACTGGAATGAAGATTGGAATTGTAGAAATGATTTCTTATAAACCTTCATTTCAAAAGCAAACACTATTGTCATGCATATCATGTCTAACAATGCAAAAATCATTTCCTTGAAGGACTTGTTTGTGCTGCAGATTAGAAAAGATAAAAATAATCACAGATTTCTTCTGATGAGTTGGAACAATTCTTTCTGTTGCTTGCATTTTTATATTTCAGTGCAGATGAGAGAACTTTTCTTCTGCGAAAGCTGAGAGTGACACAAAACTTCCTGAATTTTGTTTCTTAATGGCTGCTTGGCTCTCTCACTCTCTCAATATTTTATTTACCCTTTATTGCTCATTTATTTAGACTTCTGGTATTAAGAACAAAAAATCAGGTTCAAATTTAAATGCAACTTGAACTTGCTTTTACAAGGCAATTTTGTGACACACATCCATGATCACTAGTTGAAGGCTGGAGTTAAAACTCTGTGCAGCATAAAAGAGGGAAATGCTTCTGCTGGCTGACGTACATGTAGTCCTCAACTTAAAACAGTTCATTTAGAGACAGTTTGAAGTTACAACAGCACTGAAAAAAGTGACTTATGATCATTTTACACACTTATGACGATTACAGTATCCCATATTCACATGATCAAAATTCAGACGCTTGACAATTGACTGATGACAATTGCAGTGCCCCAGGTCATGTGATTACCTTTTGCAACCTTCTGACCAGCAAAGTCAGATTCACTTAACAACCGTGTTACTAACTATACAATTGCAGTGATTCACTGAATAGTTGTCGCAAGAAAGATAATAAAATGGTGTAAAACTCACTTAACAAGTGTCTCACTTAACAACATAAATTTTTGGCTCAATTCTGGTTGTAAGTCGAGGACTATCTGTATTATACCACTTGTTAATAGGGCACTTAGTAATTTGAAATGACATCCACCCAAGAAAATGGTGCCCTATAGTTGCTTTTTTTACCTCTGAAAATTGGAGATCACTATTTAGAATTAGTATTGTAAATTGTCTTCTTAATTTAAACTTCTGTGGAATATCAAAAGTTAGTGGCTTCAGTTGTATATCACACTGATCTGTGGGTTTTTTAGGCATGGTTTATTAAATGGAACACAATTATTTATGACAGTTCATCTTCTTTGGAAATTATGCATTCATTTACAACCATTCAATAGGCTGAGAATTGAAGATCTCCATTTATTTCAGAGCAGCCAATTATGAATGCATGGGCCTTGAATTTATCTGCAATTATGTGGACAAAATAATTCAGCATGTTATTTGAAAACTTCGTTCATTAATTTATTTGGTATTTGAAACTTTAATATACAATGTTCTTTTGGAGAGTTTAAGTTAGAGCAGGGATTCCCACACTGTGAGTCAGGACTCCCCCAAAAGGAATGAGAGTGATCACAGTTTGTTTTTAAAAGTTAGATAAGACATGCAAGCTAAGTGAGAGCAGTGCCAAAGCTGGTTCTGGGCTTGGTTCCCAGTTCTGTCAGTGCAATTAGTCAGTTTTGTGGTATCTCAGAGTTTGAAAACTTCTATAAATATATACAGATTAAAGTCAGAATGGGACAATTGGCCACAGCTGCCTGGCCCCTCCCACTTCACCCCGGCCTCCATATGCCAGCTGACCCAACGGGGTTATCCCTCCCCCACCAATCCTCCCCCCTCCACTCTTCCCTCGCTGCCTCAGCCTGACAATTCATTGTGGGACAATTTGTCCCTGCCAGTTTGCCATGTGGGACAATTAGCCACACATCCTAGCGGCCAATCCACGCGCTGAGGGATAGACCTCTGCCTTCCCATTGGACATGGCACACAGAGAGGACACTAGGTATGCACAGCAGCCTTGGGTGCTGGGCTTTTTTAAAAGGCTGTATGCTGGGAGGCAGTGGACATGCCTTGGCATGCCTTCCCGGAGGTGGTGCAGTGCCCTGCCACCCCCCCAAAGAGGGCACTGGGCTTCACCCTATCTGACCATGCCCACTGCTGGGGCCACTAGGCCACTCCTCCCTGCCAGGCGCACCTTCCCAGGAGTGGCACAGCTCCCTTCCACCCTCAAAAAGGAGGGCACTGGGCTCCACCCCACCTCGCCAGGCCCACTTCTCATCCACTGCTGCACTGCCAGGTTTGGGTGAGCGGGATGCTGCTGAGTTGGTGGCTATGGGACAGAGTGGCTGCCACTGCTGCTGGCTACACTGGCACTCAGACCCTCCCCGTCATCCAGATACAAAACACATTTGCAAAAACAATACTTCATAACCAACTTCCCACCCACACCCAACCTCCCTCCGCCCTTAGCAAACACCATGCCCCCTCACTATGTACACCTTGCTGTTCCCCAAGCATATAACACTACTTTCTCCAGCATGTAGAGGAATGTAGACTCCAAGGATGGTTGATTTAGTCTTCTAGCCCAATCAGACCAAACAATCAAAGTTGCCACGCCTCTGCAGGGTCTGACCATGCCCCAGTTTTCATTTGGTCTCAGCCCTGAAGAGACATGAGAATTTGGCTCCTAATTTAGATTCAGAAAGGTAGTTATTGCCATTCGTGGTTTCTCTATCCTTTTTTTCCTTCTTTGATGGGGGATTGGTTCAGCTCTGAGCTCAATGCTGCACCATTTCTTCTCTCTTAATCAATTCCCTTCTCCGTGAGTTTTTCAGAGGCAGACAGCTGATCGTAGATTGCTGCCTCCTCATTACAATCCACCTCCCCCACCCCCTCCCAGGATCTTCGCTGTGAATGTGAAGCTTTAAACTACTAATTTTCAGATGAAAACTGAAATCACCTTCTTAGGGCACCATTTTGAGCCTCTAGAAGTAGCCTCTACACTACTCAAGTACTTCCTTGTTACTGTTGATTGTCAGCTGTAAATTACCCAAAAAAAAAAAAAAAACCAGCAGGTGAACTGTTTGACTAAAAGAGCTTATTACCAGATTACTTGCAGGAGAGGATCTTTTCTCTCAGCTTGTTTTATCTCTAATGATCGTCTCGGCTGCCATTTTGGGCTCCGCCTGATTGCACACATTAAATTGACTGCTTTGTCCTAATTACAGCCTTTTCAGTCACAAAGTAACTTACTTATTTGGTGATTCTCCCTAAGTGGGGGGGGGGAATAGGAGTTCTAATTACATTCCTTTAGATCTTCATTACCTCGTGCTTCAGCTGCTTAATAGGCACCATCTCAGGTTACCTAGTGGACATAGGGAAAATACCTTGAGTCTCTCACTCCATTTTATCTGGTAATATTCCAGACTGTGTGACTTACCAGTACCTTTTAAATATCCAGTGCCAACAGATTGGACGGCTGCTTGCCTTGCCTGTTTTCCGCTGTCTGCATAATGGTCGGCACTTACTGTCCTAGCCGTCACTAAGTGAGACACGAGGATCAAAAAATAAAAATAAATAAATAAAAATCAATTAAAATAAAACAGAATTAAAATAAACAAGATATATATCTATATTCATATATAGACTTATCTTTAATTGATATTTGATACCTTTTCGGCCAGATTGTCTCTATTACAGTGGGCCTGAAAAATTGAACGGGGAGGACAGCCCCTGAGCGTAGTGCGGCTTATATCGCGTAGTGACTCCGTGCTTAACGGCAGGCCGGACCTCACAGACCCTCGTGCAGGCCTGTACCACCCAGGTGGGCCGTGGCCTTCCTTTCTCCTGCAGACCAAGGGCCGATCCAGGGATCTCCTGGTGAAAACCTGCCCTTTCTTCTCCTGCAGAACAGGACTGATCCAGGGATCTCCTGGTGAAAACCTGTCTTTTCTTCTACTGCAGTACAGGCCAGATCCAGGGATCTCCTGGTGAACACCTGTTGTTTATTTCCTATTTATTTCAATATGGCGGATAACACCGTTTCACAGGCTTCCACCTCCAGTGGAAATATAAAACGCAAGCCATCCAGTCTGGATACACCTGCAAAAGCCAAGGCCAAGGTCAAACGGACCTCTAAGGCCGATGACAAGCAAGCAGATAGCAGACATAGGGCGCTGGAGCGACAATTCTCCAAAGCCCAGTGGCAGACAGGAGAGACGCAGCTTATCCCCTCACCTCCTCTTGCATCCACATCAGGGGGGCATCGACCTTCCCCTTTTACACAGGCTTGGTCTCCCGAGCAGACCCTGGACAAGGGTTCCTTGCTGGGATATGAACGGGACCATCTGTCCCTCTTTGACTGAGAATTGAGATTACAGGTCCAAGATTCAATTCCAGCTGCTGAGCCAGGACCTTCCTCAGTGTCTTGTGGGTCTCAGGGGGAGGTTACTACAGTCGCCCCTCCCCCAATCCCTTCAGCATCTTTCACGCCGACGGCGGCGGGTCTTCGGGGCCCCGAACATCCTTCATTTACTGTCCAGCTCCAAGCCATGATCTCACAGGCAGTGGCTCAGGCAATAGCGGCTTCAGGGAGGGCCATTCCGGTCCAAGGACCGTCAACCCCCCCTATGCCCACGGAAACTAGGCATCCCAGGGAGTATGTGATTTCAGATCATGGTTCTCCACCTCAATCTGAAGGGAGCGAGATATCGGATTTTTCCGCTCCGATTCCGGAAGAAGGCATGTGGTCAGACGGGGAAGACATTCAGGCGGAGGCCACTCCTATGGTAGGGGTGTTTAATCCAAATTCCTTCTATTCTCTTTTACAAAAGGCCTATGTCACCGGAAAAATTGAACCCGTGAAACCACAGACGACCGATCAGGACTCTGGACAGAGTTCTGACCCACTGTTTCTGGAACTGGTCAAGAAGAACCTACAGATACCTTGCCCCCCTATGTTTCTCAAATCCATTCAGGATCAGTGGGGATCTCCTGGAAGTTTCTCTGCTCTTGGGGATTAGATCGTAAGCTTTTAGAAACGGTCCCTTCCCTCAATGATGTCC